TAAAATCAGGTACAATAAGTACTCTGATTTGACATACTGATGAGTATTAGTGATAGTTTTAGATACTTGCAGTAATTATAATGTCATGAGATGATTGTGATTTCATCGATGCTATAGGTGTAGTAGTTAGTCACTATAGTTGTTACCCCATGCTCTTAATGAAAGGAAAGGCTAAGTTGTCTGTGAAAATAAAGATGCAATTTTCCCCTGCACACAAGTTTATGGACCCAGGTCTTAAGAATCATGAACATAAAATAAAGGGCAGTGACGGAACGTCTACCCTCTTTTCTGTAATTAGTCCATGATATCTGACTGGGTGGGAAGCGAGGCCCCAGGGAAGCGGTGTCCACTGGGTGCTGGGAGCCTAATAGCTGGTGGATAGGAAGACGTTCATTTGTTGGTCAGGAGGCATCATTTGCTGACATTGCAAAATAAGGTTAGGTTTGAGTCCCATGATGCCAGCAAGTAATCCTGAAGCTTCGAATCCTTCCCAGAGCACCCTTATTACCTCCTCAATGACATTTAAACGTTCATGTCTTTCACAACCACCGGTCCAGCTTGGGTCTCCTTGGGAAGGGCTGAAGGGTTCAGCAGCTGTGGGAAGACAAGTCTGGTTACCATGGACCCTCTGTTATACCATAGTTAAAGACTCTGGAAAAACCCTGGCTCAAGTGAAGTGGGTCATGAAGCAGTTACCAGAAGAACCCAAGAACTCTCAGGTATGGGTTAGCATGTATGTCTTTCCCTGATCACTTGGGTGTCTCTTTAGCCATGGTCACCTACAGTCACATGTGGGCCTCCTCCTGGAGGTGATGCCTGAGTTGCCTCGTGAATGATAGGGTAAGCTGAGTAATGTAGGGAGGAAATATTGCAGCAAGGAGAACAAAGATCTGTGCAGTAATCAAGAGGCATAAAGTACCACACATGGCTCAAGAGAGCTGGAGTTGCCCGAAAGTACATGGCGGGGTTGGGAATGAGACTGAAGGGGTACCACCAGAGAGGGAGAGAAGGACCAGACTTCAACCTGGTGCGCCAAGACATGAATGCAACATACTGGCACAAAGCAGGGAACCAACAGAGAGGTCTGTGGGGCTGGCCCCAATCCCAACTACATGGACAGCCACCACCCACCCACCCTGAAGAATTCACTTCAGATGGCAGCACTGAAGCTACAGTTAGTTCAGAGAGTGGAGCACACAGGAGCAAACCAAGAGGGAAGGAGAGAGAATGGAATACATCCTGGCCCACCAAGCCCCTAGGTGATATTCCTGCTCAGAGAAGGAATGGCAATGCCAATTCCTGCCAATGCACAGAGAGGACTACGTATAGGGCTGGCCACACCATGAGACACGACATCCCTCAGTGACCCATAGCCCTTTGAGGGATAACACTGGAGGCACAATGTGGGAATTGAGCCCAATCTGACCCCACCACTTTGGGACAAAATGCTAAGGGTGTACGTGCAACAGAGCAGCAAGAGGAGCAAAGCAATGAAGTCCCAGGGAATACCAAAAATAGACTTTGGGGCCAGGGTGTGGCACCACATCAGACTCGACCAGAAAACACTCCGAAAGGTCAACAAACAGACCTTGAACTCCTTACAGGCTTTTCTGTTTTTGTTGTTGTCAGTTTTGTTGCTGTTTTGTTTTGTTGTTTTCTTTGCTCTGTCTTTTCTTGGTGCTTATTATTGTCTCTGCATGTCTATCTAGATAAGAGAGGTGGAATAAACAATCCAGAGGAGAAAGCAATGGGACCAGCAGTTCCAGCGGGACACAGGAGAGGTGGAGGCAGAGGAAAGGAAGTGGTGTTAACAAACCCAGGGACAAGAGAACAAGTGATCTAAAATCG